AACTAAAATCTTTTTTTTTTATAATAACTAGAACCGTTATTTATTTTATTTTATTATTGTTCAATTCAAATTTCATTATCATATTGTATCTGCTCCTCTCATGTAACCTCGCGAACTTAACAATCGCTCTTTAAATTCTGCCTTTAAATTTCTGCTTGCATGGTTTAAATTATGACATTATCTCTCTGTTTGCAATTCAATTATCTCACGCGTTTACCATTATTTCTGTCACATTGCACACATCCGAAGGTTAGGTTTAACTGTTTGGCCGCCGCGCCAATAGTCTATAAACCCTCACCCATTCAAACCCTCAAAATTACACCCTTACAAACCCTAATTTTCACAAATGCCTCGCCGCAGGCAAGATTACAATTTTACCCCTAGCATTAGGTCAAAGAGCCGCCGCGCTCATTTTAGGGTTTCCCGCCGTGGAATCCCTAATTTAACCCTAATTACAACTTAACAATTCAACGTAGAGATTGGGAGTTTCTACACTCCATGTAAGCGTGTCCTTAAGATGCGTTTATTCCCCTTGAGACCTTGACCACAGTCAAGAAGTTTCTAACCTCCCTTTTGAGGGGAACTACGATTACTCTGATTCCACTCCCGTAAGGATACGTAGGCACAAGACGCGATGTCTTGCCGAGTAAACTTAGAATTAACCCCTTAGGTCTCTTTTCTCACTTTTAATCCTTTGTACATATACCTTAAGCAAATAAATAAAGCAAATAGTAAACATCTGAACAAAAGGTTCCTGTAGAGTACTACAGAAGTTTAGGGTGCTAATACCTTCCCTAAATTTAACCAACCCCCGAACCCTAGATCTTTCCCCGCATTGTGTTTACGATGCAAAATAGGTTTTCCCTCTTTTGACCTTTTCCTTCGGATAAATCAAAGAGCGGTTGTGAATTGAATTGCGATTCAAACTCATTAATAGTTTGTGATCCTATTTCCACCGCAACACTCCAAAAGCGTATCGAAGACGGTCTTTGCGTCGCATTGAGAGAAGGGCTCTAATTCATATATTTATCGACGAATATGCCACGTACCTCTCTCAAGCAAAAAAGATTCTACATCTCACGATTATATTATGGGGTAGGAGAATTACATCTCGACTACGTAGATGAATCACGTCTAGTTCTCTTTGTAGGAGAATAGAGGATTAGATTGAATTATAAGTTGTCTAATGTTGAAGTATCCTAATGGTATATATCTACCTAAAAGGATGAACAATCTAAATATATACAACCTAAAGGGAATCATCCTAAAGGGGAAACATGGATCATACAATGAGTAAAAGATACAAAAGAGAAATGCAATGCACACGACTATATATTCAACCATGAACCCTTTCCCTTGGACTCAAGCTTAAGCAATCAGAAAGATTCAGAAGCTACAAGTGAATATACATGATCAATATCATGAAGATAATATACAATGGACAGACAGTAGAAACTCAAGTGTCAAGATTAAGATCATGAACAAATAACAACATATGTACAAGACAAAAATCAAGGCATGTAATCAATTCACAAGGTAAAATAATCATGGGCATGAACAAAGATAACAAAGCACATGACAAAGTATTGTGATCGTCAAGAGTTAATCAGATTCATCAAGGAAAAGTAACAAAATCAATCCAAATGATCATAAGCATGGCAATACAAGAACCAAAATTCATCATGAAAAAACAACCAGTCAACATGAGACAAATAAGCATATTTTTGTATTATGTGGCATAAATATTTATTTATATAAAAAAACTAAATATCAAAATAAAACGAAAGATCTACTAAAATAAATATTATTATTACTTATTATAAATGAAATAAAACAATTTTGTGTTAAAACTCTCTTATTCTATTTAATTTAAATGAGAAAGAAAGGAAAAAAACGTGAGATAAAAATAAACTAATAATAATAATTATATTATTATTATTTAATATAAAAAATTATATTTAAAAAACTAACTCAAAATAATAATAAGTAATAATTATATAAATAAAAAAAAAAGAAGTAAGAGAGAAACATGTGTCACGCTCACATTTATACATTACTAAGTAAATTGATTATTTTTTTTTAAAAGAATCACATCAACTAATTTTAAATAGACACTTGGCATTACTTTCAATCAAAACAAAAGTGAACATAAGGAAAATAACCAAATATTACATTAAAGAGTTTTTCATCACATAACAACATCTCTTTACTTTTCTCTTAAGAAATAAGCTATCAAATATCATAAAAATAAATGTCAGCCTTCGTACTCTTAGTGAACAAAAAGAGAGAACAAACAAGCTTGCCTCTCTTTTCTAAATCAAAGCTCATGTGAAATGAGAAGAAAGTAAGAACAAATTCACATTATATATCTAACTGTTTTCATGAACAAAAGCAAGGTTCAAACCAAACAATATGAAACAAAAAAATACCAAATGGAAACGAAAGAAACCGAATCGACGAGTGTGACAGTTGAATCTGCTTTGACAGTAGGATTTCTCAATGACAGTAATGATGGTCGGAACGAAACCGAGATGACCACGTGAAGCTCTTGCGGTGGAAATCCGAGAGCTCTTCCTCTTTCTTTTTTTGGGTTTCCATTTCTGATTCGTTGTGTCGTTGTTGTTGTGTTTCTGCCGACAAAGGCGTCTTGTTGTGGTGGTGCAGGTGAAACAAACAGAATAAGCCGCGACGGTCTCATGATGAAGGAGGATGAGTGCGGTTGTTATTTCTCACGATGGGGGAGGTTATGAAGGTTTGGGAAGATGTGTTTGGTGTTTTTTTTTTGTGATTGCTTGTTTTTTCTAATGCATATATATATATATATATTATATAAAAGACTAGAAAATAGACAAGAATGATAATAACAATTAACAAAATGTTTTGTTTTTGTTTTTTATAATAAGACAAAAATAAAATGAATTAAAAATTATGTTTTTGTGTTTTTTTATGACAAAACAAGAATAAAAAGAATTAAAAATCATGTTTTTGTGTTTTTTATGATAAGACAAGAATAAAAAGAATTAAAAAATATGTTTTTTTTTGTTTTTTTCTTATAATAAGACAAAAATAAAAGAATTTAAAATCATGTTTTTGTGTTTTTTTTATGATAAGACAAGAATAAAAAAAATTAAAAAATTTATTTTGTGTTTTTTAAAAATAAAATATTAATAAACAAATCAAAAATATGATTAATTAATAAAAATAAAAATTTACATTAAATATCTAATTAAATCTAAATAAATGAAATAATTATTTAAATAAAAATGATTTAAAAGCGAAATAAAAAGTCGGGCAGAAAAGTGCTCGAAAAATAAAATGAACACACCAAAATAATCAGCGCGAAATAAACGACTCGGAAAAATACAACGTTTGATCAGATTTTGAAATAAATTTAGACCGGTTTGTCTGTAAATTCAACAAATTTATTTTGACTGACATTTCGAACACTATGCAAGATGAAGTGCATGCTATGCAGATGATGCAAAACAGAATATTAGAATAAAAAATTAGGGTATGACACACTTTAACATCTTTTCTTCTCTTGCCCGATCTTGAACAATTTGGGCTTATGTTCTTAACTGGTTGCAGATCAATCATATACCATAAAATTTGAGGGAAGAACTTAATTGGATCATTGACAAATGCAAAGGTAAAGGTTGGAGAGTTGAAATTCTAAAATGTGATTTTGCAAAAATTGTTTATAAGAGTTGGAAATTTAGAAATCATCACTGCTTTGACAACATTAGAGATGTACACGGGTTATGTTGAACCCAGTTTAACCTAACTCATTCGCCGACTCGTTCAAACTTCAATGAGTTGGATTCATCATCCAACCCGTATTTCCACATTCAAAACTGGCTCAAACTGACCTATTCATTTATGGGTTGGGTTTGATTTGATTCATGGGTTACATTAAAGTTTTTTTTATAATTATTTTAATTATAAACAAATTGTAACACGGTTTAATACAATTGCATTCATTTATAACACTCAAATTAGATAAAACACATCATATAATGTTTAATAAAATTCATCCACATGACATAACACTTAATAATAGTAAAAAAATTCCACAAAACACGTTATTTTCATAAAATACGTAAGTTGAAAATGATACAAAAGAAAATAAGAAATAACATTTCTTAGTCTTAAAATTACGTAAATTTATTGGTCTAGTAGTAGTATTGACGTTGAATAATTTTTTTTTGACAAAATTGTGATTAGTAGTGTGATATTAATTTTATAATTTCATTTAAAATAAAAAAAAAATTAAGAAACACTAATGGGACATCAATGAGTTAGGTCAACATGTACATGTATTGAAAAAGTTAAACTCAATACCTAAACCAAAACCATACGAGTTAGGTTAGATAAACTCGTAATTAAACGAGTTCAGATAACTTATGAATTGGTTCAGTTTGAGACAATAGATTTGTGAATAGACCTGAGACAATAGATTTGTGGATAGACCTACATCTATGAAGACTCGTATACAACATTGTGAATAGTAGTACCATAAGTCCTCATGTCATAGATACAATTGTGTACGGCACTTGGATAAAACCTAAACTTAAACATCATATTGGTAGGTTGATTATGTTGTAACTTCTTTTGCCTTGCTTGTATTGTTTTTGGATTAATACAATTTGCTCCCTTGCAAAAGAAAAAGAAAAAAAAAGAGTGGTGAATGGTGCTTCTCAACAAATTCGTAGACATTACACAATACAAACACCACAATCCAACTCCTCTCAGAGAGAAAGAGAGAGAGAGAGAGATAAATTGGAGAGGGAGGAAGAAAATAACATTATTTGTGCTGGTTGAAATTCTCATGTCAAAAGAACCAACTAAAACTTCCTCCCAATTTCGGTGAAAAGGTAAAATTAATCAATGGCTGAAATCATGGGTGTAAATGTCACTTTAAAACCAACATTACATAGTGGTTTGTTAAATTTTGGACGAGTAACATAATTGGCCCTGCTAGTTACCACTGCTCTTTTGCTTCAGTTGCTCACAATTTTGTCATGATGAACCTCATTTTTGGATTCACATTCGGAGCAAGGTGTCTGTCCCTGCATAATATCATCATCTTCGTCGAAGTTTGAATTAGCTGCTTCACCACTAGATGATCCATCCTCAGAACCATTAGCATCCGAGCTAAAAAATCTCGGGGTTGAACAGCCAGAATCAATAAAACCAGACACCCTTTTGTCATATTCTCTCATTTTTATACCATAAGCTTCAAAGTTCATTCCAGCTTTATTATTTCCACCAAAACAGGATTCTAGCTTGTCCATGTCAAAGAGTTCTTCCATCATTACGCGGCTCTTTGGGTTGTCAGGGTAAGCAAATATCGCCTTTCTGTAAGTCTTGAGTTCAAGAAACGGTTTCACCATCTGATCCAAAGAATGCACAACACTTATCAAACACAGAAAAAGTATAGTTGACAAGCATATATACATATATTTTTGAATTCAACCCCACCAAAAGAGATTTAAAAATAGTTGGTATTTATGATATCGTACCGTCCAAAATGACTCGAACAGTTTTGGTGGATTGTACAAGACTGCAAGGCCCAGCCTTTCCGGGTAATGATTCTGCAGGACTTGAGCAGTATCTCGGGTGACCTTTAGTGATATACACGATGTGCTCCACCCTTGAAAATCAATTAGCCAAACCATCTGTTCTTGTGTGGAAGGTAGATTAGATATAGCATTCTCCATACAGTAAACGAGGTACTTGATCTGAACCATTGCCAAACTTGGAGTCTACATTGGATAACTAAGGACTTAGTTACAAGATTCAATCATCAATTATAATAACAATGACATCTACAAAACAAGAAGGATCAAGTATAATTCGAGGGGGCTGAAACCATTTGACGCCAGAACTGACCCCCGAATCAGATTAGTCAGTCCAGTGGACTGGATACTGGGGTGAAAGCAAAATAAAAAATATAATGACCGCAGTAAAAAATTTGAACGGATGAATTCCAATCAAGGTATTTAGATTACCTGAAGTCCAGCTTTAATGACAAAAACAACCCTTCCTTGCTTGTCCAAATAATCAGCCCTATATAACCTTCCCTTGAGAGCTTCTTTAGCTATATCATCCTGATTGTATGAAGTACAATAGATAACAGTCTTTTAGTCGCACTGATCTACTAAACGGTAACTAACTGATCACTATTTAAAACCACCCGATTATGGTCAGGAATGTTATCCTGAAATCGGGCACACGGAATGAAGTCTGACATAGAGAATGTTACTTGTTTGCAACGAAAATAAAAATTGTAAAGTGATAGATAAAAAGTAAGATTTGATTCACACCCATAGAATCTTCTCAGGCTTGAACTCCAGCCTCCATTTTATGGTGCCTCTCAACATCTTTGCAGCCTTCATAGTATTATAGTTTCGTGCTCTAAGAAACCTTAGCACTGATGCATCCGAGCATATAGTCGGGAACTTGTCTGCAACTGGACCAATTATCTTTCTGGTTTCTTGGATCTGAAAAAATATCACAGAGACCGCACGGTTAAAACGTAACAATAAACATCAAATTTAACACTTGATAGTACCTTGATCTGCTGGTCTTCTGTAGATAATTTTTTTTCAGTTATACTCTCCTTCAATTTCTTAAACGACATCATTCTTTCCAAATCTATAATCAAGCTAAAACATCCTGAAAATAGTAATAACAACAGAAATAATTTTCTCAAACTAATCACACAAAACAACCGTTCTAAATCGAGTATTTCCAAACTAACACACCTTTTTCTGCGATGTACAGTTCGTCTTCATCTATGATTCATGCATTCCTTAAAAAGAATTGAACAAGAATAACCATAACAGTAACCGATTTTTGCACGTAAAAGAAGAAGGAAGAAAACAAGATATGTGGATCGTGAAGAAGGAAAGGAAGTGAGAAACAACACGTGGCTACTATAGAGAAACCAGTGGAGTGGAATGTGTTGAAATGCAGCAAAACTCAATTAAATTACGAAAACTATTTGTTTTTATCATGTAACTCCTGGGTACTCTTTTAAGAATAAAAGAAAGAAAGAAAAATCAGTTGGATATTAAAAATTCACCGAATAACTAATATGTTCCGATTCATATATGTGAAAGATTAAATGGTTGTTTTTTTATAGAACCTTATGGTTAATATCTTTCTAAATCTTTGCATATAATAACTCACCGATTTTATAAATAAAAAACCAAAATTGAATCATTGTATACGATAAAAAGAAATTGTTATAAAAAAGTTGTTTGATATAAAATAAGTTTTTAAATTTCATAACACTCACTCATTCACAATTTAATGAAGTATTATAATTTTAAAATTTTGAGTGTTGCTATTAATAATAAATTTAAGATAGATTAAGTAATCTATATGAATCACAAATGTTAATATGTCATACTTGCCTTGACAAATTTTACTTTATTAAGAATTGTCCTTAAGTTATATGTTAACGAGTTAAATCTGAAGTACATAATTGTGCAAAGACTATGAAATCCCAATATCCATACTCATTTATTTTTAAGAGAGGAATTTCAATCACTTGATTGTTTTTTTAAAAAAATGGTTGTTGTTAAATTGGATGCAATAATTACTAGACTTTTATGAATAATTTTGTGTAAATTTTTTGAAATTAAAGTTGTGCACAATTAGCATAAAGTAATTTTACATATTATCTAATAAAATTATAATATTTTATTATGTTATATTATTATTTTATAATTAAATATGTAATTAGGCAGAATATACGTCCATAATTAGTTAACTGTGTAAAAATATTTTATTTGATTTTTTCAATTTTTTATATAAATTGTTAATAATTATTATTATTTTCTTTTTACCAAAATGATTATTATTATTTTCTTTTTTGAAAGTGATGTAAAAGAATATACTCTTGATCTATTCACCTTCCCTAAAAAAAATTATATATCCTTTTATGAATCAAATATCCTTATGCGTAATGGTAAAAATTAATCCTCCAAATTAAATAGGATTATAATAGATTCATATAATTTAATATTCTCTACATGCAATTGTCGATACTAATCCCTCAAATTGAATAGAATATTCTCTAGTATAACTGTAAAGATGAATTCCTCAAATTAAATAAGACCTCTACACACATTTGTAGAGACTAATCTCTCAAACCGGATTGAACCATAATAAAAATAAAACTCTCTTTTAAGAGATTAATGTTGTTGTATATTTAAAACTGAATTCAAACTCAAAATTTATAGTTAAATGAGAAGAAACTCCATCATTTCAATTAATAAAAAAATATGAAAAATGTTAAAAGTGCCTCCAGAGCACTCTTTTAGAACTTAAAAAGAAAAAGTGTTTTTGGAAATTAAGAATAAAAAGTTTTTTGTTAAACAAAATTGTAATTTAATGTACAATAATCTTTTGAATTTCATAATAACATAGTATTTGAATTTTATGGTACTTTAGTGTTCAAATTTTTTAATCTTTTAGTTGGTTCTATTTTGTTGTAACATTGATTTTAGATTTTGAAGTAATCATTAATTCAATTGAATTTTGAATTTGATTGTATCATATAATTTTAAATTTTAAGGTTTAGAATAAATATTTTTTTATAATATCAATATAATATTATTATTATTTTACTATTACATTTTTATTTATTAAATTTTACTCTATTTAACTAATCCATTAAATATTTAATATATTTAATATTTTTTAAAAACCACGTATAATTGAAATAAAACACTTATCCTTATTACTGGGTTTAGATTTAACCTATTAGAGTTATTCAATAGAGAATGTTTGACTTTTTAAAAAATCTATTTAGTTAAAATTGTTATATTACAAATCATAATTTTTTATCAGACTTATCCACTTCATTAAATATAAATAAATTTATATGTGTTATATTTTCTTTTACTTTAAAATAAAATATAAATACAAATTTTGGATATGTTGAATAATTTGTAAAAATAAATTAGAAAAACTTAATAAAAATTTCATTTTTATAGGCAAAATACATTAAAGACATACTCTAACTTGTATATAAAAAAGAGGGGTCAAATTCCAAAGTCAACTATCTAAAAAGGGTTGAAGTTACTCCACCATACTATGGGTTGAAAGTAGAGTTATTTCAAATTTTTTAAGATTCTATGAAGATTAGTCACATTTTAAGAAGGAAAAAATAAATTGAGACTCTATGTAATTATGATTTAACATAATTAATATTTTATAAGACTCTATTTAATTATAGTTTAATTTTGAAAATTTGAAGTCATGAGTGGTAGTCCGTCTTATATATTTTCAAAGACGACCTTGACTGAAAATTGGACTAATTATTTACTCGATCCGTTCTAAATTATAAGACGTTTTGAATTTTTCACGTAAATTAAAAAACATAATTCTTCTTGTATAAAAAAAAGTTATATATGACTTTACAATATTGTCATTAATATTATATTAAAATTATAAAATGAATTATAATTTGAAACAATTTTTTTTTAACAATGTAATTTATAATTTAGAACATATTCTTTAAATGGTGCATGCCAACTATTTGTGGAAGTAGAAAATCCACAATAATCGACTTTTCTCATATAATCACATTGAGATAATAACAATAATAACCTCCCTTTATAAATTAATATGATTACAAAAATAATAATAATAATTTTACTAAAAAATATTGGGAGATAAATTTTATTTTGAATTTTTCTTTTAAAATGATTTTTTTTGGTTAAGTTGTTTAGTGATTTAAGTTCACCTTATTAAAGGTAAATAAGTAGAATATCACATATTGAGATTCGTATTTCTGCACTTGATGTTTCTACACAACTAACCATTAAATTGTCTTAATGAAACTCTCAAAATGATTTCTTTCTCATATATAATGGGAATTTCTTTTAAAACTCTCGTAGTTTTTATTTTTCTTCTTGATGATCTAAATGAAAGAAAGACAACGTTTTTATAGCCAACACTTCAAGCTAATTCGCAATCATATTCAAATAAGAGTTTTTCTCATATTTTTCTTTCATTTTTTTTAAAAGTTATTTCGTACCTTTGTTCCTATTTTTTTATTTCTTTTCTATTTATCTCTTTCTTTATCTCTCATCTTAATAAAAAAAATTCATCAATTTCCACTTTCAATTTAGGTGGAGGGCTCCAGCGATCCAATAACTCTTTTACAAAACTCATACTTTTTCTACATAATGACTTGGACATCATGTTTGAATTATTATTATCGGTGTAGATTTTCTCAAGTTGTAATTGCTTGGATTGCAATATATCATGTATTTAGTGATATATCACATCAATGTGCTTCAACCTTAAGGAAAACTTAAATTTTTGTACAAACAGATATCACTCTGGGTATCACAACGCACAACGTACTTTTTTTTGTACATAACCTAACTCATGCAAGAAATGTTTCATTGACAATATTTTTTGCAAGCTTCTGTTAATGTAATGAACTCTGCCACTATGGTAGACAAATCAATACACATTTGTAACTTTGACTGCCACAATACCGTTCCTCCTGAAAATGTAATTATAAATTCGTAAGTAGCTTTTCTAGAATCAATATCTCCATCCATATCCGCATATGTGTGGCAATCAGTCAAACTCTTCTACTCCCAAAGCATAAAGTAATTTTGGAAGTTCCTCTGAGATATCTTAAGATTCACTTCACAGTAATCTAACGCTCATTTCTTTGTTTAGCCAAGAATATGCTTACAATACCAAATACGTGTATTATGTTTGATCGTATGCACACCATTACATGCATAAAGCTTCCAACAAACAGTTGAGGCATATGACGCCTTGCATATCTCCATCTTGTAGACCTTTGACCACCATATTCAATCAACATAATATGTTTGGATGATAAGAATAAATGTGGTTGAATGATGTTTTTATCTTAATAAACATATACCATATGTTTGTTGGAATGCATATTTATGGGTGCATTTTTTATATAGTATACCAAATGTTTGGTCTTAAGTGGCTTACATTGAGCCATTGCAACGTATGATACTATATACTCGCTAAAATTATATATTGCTTTATATAATAAGTATATTAAAGTTTTGCACTTCTTCACCAATTGTTACAAGTTTTTATATAAATAGAGATATTTCTAGGCATAAAGAGATACTGAAATTATATCTAAATCATTAATCTATTTTTCTAGTATAAGAGAATAAATGAGAGAATTTTATTTTCTAAAATACTGTTGATCGACATGCTTCATGTGAATGAGTAATTCATATTAAGGTTTCTAAAGTATCTTAAAAAGGATTTGTCAATTTATCCATTTACATCTGATCTGACCTGATCAGAAGGGGACCACTGACTTGCCTCGCGCCGTTGATCTGCTTCCTGTTCACCGGTGTTGAGAAGGAGATGGGGGGTGTACCTGCAAGACACTCTGATGTCAAAGTAAGAGTTTGGACAGAGTGACAGCAACTACAGAAAAGGGGTAAGAAGAGAATACCTGACCCTCTTGGAGAAGAGGGTATTTATAGAGAGACCCCGGCGCTGGGTCAACGGTCACCTGTGTTGGGCTGGATTGCCAGACCCAACCCAGGTGACTGCTAGGGCTTACATGGCGTAGTGAAGACCAGAACATGGTCTTCGCCCTAGTTCAACTGC